AAGCACTGGCCTGGGAATCGGTGGCATTGATGGTGTAGTTATCGCTAATGGTGGTGCTGGCGTTAGTGCCGGCGTAAGCGCAAACGTTGTTGCTGACGTAGGCGCCGGCCTGGGAATCGTCGCAGGCGTCGGTACTGGTGATGGTGCTGGCGGAGGCGCGAACATTGCTGCCGACGTAAGCGCCCGCCTGGGAATCGTCGCAAATGACAGTGCTGGCGTTGGTGCCGGCGTGCGCAAAAACATTGTTTCCGACGTAGGCGTTGGCCTGGGAGTCGGTGGAGACCGCCCTTAGATTTCTGTGCAAATGCTCACGGTCTCTTCCCTTCTTCCTTTTTCTCCTTCCTCCCCTGTCCTCTTGCGAACTGTAGTCCACCATGGTCTTCACCGTCGCAATGCCGCTGAGGTTGGAGCCACTCGTCGAACCCGCATTGGAGATGTCAAACATAGCGTCAATACCAACATAAATGTAGACATACATGTCGGAATCGCTGTTGTGTGGTTGTATCACCCATCCCTACACACACTGCATCTGGATAACATGAAATATGCAACCGTCACACCCATCATGTATGCAATAGTCTTCACACTGCGCATACACATTGATATGGGTAATGTTCAGTACGGCGCAAATCGGGGACGAACCCTTGGCAACCCAACGGGTGGTTGGAACGCCGGCAGTGCAGGGGGCAAACCTGCCAACCTACGTAAGAAATTTGATTCCGAGAATCCTGCGTTCCACGACATGATCGTTAATGTACCCGGTCCCTGTATTGCCAAATTGCGCAAGACCTCGAGCTGGGCTGCCTCCTCCGCGGTGAGCTGCGGCTGGAGCAGGACCGGTGGGGGCGCCGGCAATACTGGTATGTTGCTTCTTTTGAGCATAATCATCTATACCACACCCACCAAGACCCCCGCCACCAACCAGCCCCAGGCGAGGCCAAACGGGCCAAAGCCAGGGATCGCATAGTATTCTGGGGTGAAGCCGAAGCAGACCATGCTTGTGTGGACGGTGGACAGCCAACACTCGTTGGGGAGAGTTGCCATGTATTCGTCGTTCCACGGGCGGCTGCAAATCCCCAGGACCATACAGCAAACCCCCATCCACCCCAGTCCACACTGGTCACTAAGTCCCACCATGTCATTGGTCGTCGGCGCACGGACGCGGTGAGGGCGAGAAACAAAGCGAGAATGAAATGGGATGTAGGCGGTAAGTGCAGGAAGGGAGGTAGAATAGGGGGTGTTGAGCCCTTGAGCCCTTGAGCCCTCGAATCAAACTTGCAATTTGGCTCCTCGGAATTTTATGCGGGCGGAGAACGATTCGGACAAAGATGTCATTTATCTTTCCAAGGGGACAAATATCAAAGTACTACGCGTTTTGCAGCTACGGCATCTTCCTTCGCCTGCGATTGAGACGCCTTCCTCGATCACGCTATCCCAGGCGGGAAAATTTGCGTTTGGGAGACTCGCCATATTTCATATCTGATGCATGCCAAAATTCGAACAATTTACGCCTCACGCTAAATAGGATACCGGATGAGATGCCGACCCATTTCAAAGCGTTTTTCTGCAAGCCCAAAACCAAAAACAATGGAACATGTTAACTTGCAACTGCGATCCGGGGTATATATATATATATATATATATATTGAAGGGGGTATAGGCAGGCCGATTCTATTTTGAAATGGGGTGATAGGAATCCTCTTGGGCGACCAAATCATCTCGGACAAGCTAACTAGCTACTATTAGGCTGAAAGACAAGTTGGCGCCACATAATATTTGCGAGTCGGTAAAGAGGGGAATAATCACTCATGACGATAGGAATAATGCTAAAACCAAGATGTGCTAATGAGACGGAATCGGACGTCGAACGCAACATGGATCATGGAGGCATTGTTCTATATTGAAACGCGACATATCGATACATATGTTGGGTTTGATTCGTCTAAGTCGCACGTGCGGGATAATGGTGATGAAATTGATGGAAGAATGAAGGATGCCAAGTTACACTGCGCGATGACCATTACCAATCACACACACACCTTGGAATGGTGCCGAAAACTTTGAATAATTCTCAACTCCTCAGAATGCCACTCAACCGAATTCTGGGGAACGAAACTCAACACCGAACGTACCTCACCCGGCAATATGGGATCCGATTTCGCTTTCAAATTTCGGTTTTGTTGTGAGGTTTGATGATTGGTTTCGGTTTCGCCGTTTCAAGTTTCGGGTTCATTGTCATTGGTTTTGGTTTCGTGGTGCCCGTTTTGGATATGGTTTTGTATGCCAAAACGCGGTGGCTCTGTTTGTGTATAGGTGATTGTATTGCTATTCTTGATTGGTGTACTAGAAACTGTCAGTTGCATATGGGGAGGCTGGCTTGATATTTGCGCTTCCGTTATAAACTCTTCGATTCAATTGTCATTGGCTTCGGTTTTGTGGTGTTCGTTTTGAAAATGGTTTTAGGTACCGAAAAGGGATGAAAAACGTTCAGAGTGACTTTGTTTATCGTACGTGCGTGCGCGCGTGTGTGTGAGTGTGTATATGTATGAATATTTTCATTTGTACTTTAGTTTGTATATGGAGGGCTGGCTTAATATTCGGATTTCCATTGCACGGGAAATTCATAATATTGTAGCATTCGGTATTGAAAATTCCGCGGTAACCCGAAATACGAAATTATACGAATACGGGTCTGACAACCACGTGCACATCACACGTCCCGACAATAACAGAATTTGCCGGTAAATACGGTTGGCCTGGCTTCGGTTCCGGAAAATTCTGTTCCCAAACCGTGATTATCAACGAATGCTGTGCTCGCCTCGCCCGGGGGAATACACATGCAAGCGGTATCTGAAGTGAAAGTAAGGAAAAGGGCTTACTTGAGCAAATCGATGGGAAGAGAACGACGAGGAGAAGAAGGACGACGAGGACGAGCAAGAGAGGAGGAAGGAGGACGACAACGAGAAGGAGTAACAAAAGCAAGGACAGGAACCAAATGACGTGTAATTCATCCAACGGACTGGCGGGCTACGATGCTGCTGTGTCCGTAGCCATTTCGATCAAACATTCTTCATGCATTGGCGTACTTACCGGTCCGTGAGCCTTCCCTTTCCCTTATTCAGAATGTACAACACGTTTACATATTTCCCATTCCTTTTCTTTTTTTTTGGTAGTCGCGGCACCATGGGATACATTCTCGGCTGATACGATGCATCAGTTTTTTAACCATAACGGGCTTGTGTCAGAAGTATATGCAAGAATACAATAAAGTACTTGCACAATATTGTAAAGAAGGACCTATGCGTGAAGCTGATGGTGCCGGGCTTGAAATCAATGCCCAACGATTTCATATTGGGCAAGAAATACATGGAGGACCGTACCAAGTGTAAAGAGCACTGTGTCGAAACGGAAAATGACCGGATGAAACGGATTCGGGCACTAACGGGTTTCTGTCACCCGGAGTAGTTCAATTACTCTGAACAGCATGGTTGCTTCCCCCGCCCAACTCGCCGAATTAGAATTAATGCGGAAACCGGTGACGACAGAATTTGACACCCACCCGCTGGAAGTAAATAATTTTCATTTACATATCCGTGCTGCTGTGGACAAACGCACGGCTGTGCGTCTTTGGGGGGGAGGTAAGAGAGAGAGAGAGAGAGAGAGAGAGAGAGAGACGAGAGAGAGAGAGAGAAAGAGAAAGAGAGAGAGAGAGAGAGAGAGAGAAGGAGAGAGAGAAGGGAGAGGAGAGAGAAAGAGAGAGAGGGATAATGCGAGAAAAGAGTAGGCCCACGAAACCGAAATCAAGAGCTTCGAAACTGAAACCTGTAGCCTAGAAACGGGAACCTGAAGGCGAAACCGAAACCTGAGAGCGAAACGAAAACCTGAAAACGAAACCGTTTCCCATGTCTCCCTACCCCACCGCTATGTTTCCAGCACCCAGCTTGGTTGCCCCAGCTCGACCAGTGCCCTCCGCCCGACGTTGCCGATGCATCACCGATGCATCGTCGATGCGACGCAATCCCCCCCCCAGAGGGCGTCGAGGGGCTCGAGAAGTGGAGCGGGGATGGTGAGGATCAGGCGGAGGCGGCGGGGAGAGCAAGCGGCAGAGGAGCAGGAGGGAGGAGGAGGAGGAGGAGGGGAAGGAGGAAGAGGAGGAGGAGGAGGAGGAGGAGGAGGAGGAGGAGGAGGACGGGGAGGAGGAGGAGAAGGAGGAGGAGGAGGAGGAGGAGGAGGAGGAGGAGGAGGAAGGGAGGAGAAGGAGGAGGAGAGCAAGCGGCAGAGGAGCAGGAGGGAGGAGGGGAAGGAGGAGGAAGGGTAGGAAGGGGAGGATGAGGATGACGACTGGGTGACGGGGTCCGCAACAAACGTTTTCCAGTGAGAGAAGGGGGCGAGACTCAGGCTCGACACCGAACAAACCGCACTGCCCGATGTATCGCCGATGCGGCGCGATCCTCCAGAGGGCGTCGAGGAGCTCGAGAAGGAGAACAATGGGGGTGAGTACCAGGAGGAAGCGCTGGTGGAAGCAGGGGCAGAGTGAGAGTAAGAGGTGGACGAGGACGACGAGGAACGACGATCTGTAACAAACTCTTTCCAATCATCAGGGCTGCCATCCGTGAAACGGCAACTGCGCGACTGCTAGTTGACCTCCGTCTGGAACACTTGATATCTCGTAAATTTCTCGACTCGAGCACTGCCCACGAACCGTTAACATGTCCGTCTCCCTGACTCTGGCCGAGCCAGCCGTAGTCGCGCAGTTGCCGTTTCACGGACGGTGGCCCTTATCATTGGAAAGGGCTTGTTGCACAGCCTTGCTCCTCGCCGTTCTCCCCGTCCACCTCCTGCTCCCTCCTCCTCGTCCTCCTCGTCGTCCTCCTCCTCCTCCTCCTCCTCCTCCTCCTCCCCTCCTCCTCTTCCCCCCCTCCTTCCTCTCCTCCCCCGTGCTTCCAGCACCTGGCTTGGGTTGCCTTGACTCGGGGCGGTGCAGCTCCCCCCCCCACACCCCCCGCTCCTCTGCAGCGCGCCGGGGCTCCGCGGCCCCCCCTCTGCCTCTCTCCCCCTGCCGGCTCGTGGAGGCGAAGTGCGCTCGCCGCTGTGCGCGGCCTCCTTTTGTGGATGGCGCGCGGCCGCTCCCGCCAAGAGGCCGCGGCGGAGGCCAAAGGCAGGCCGACGTCCGCCAGGCTGGCCCGAGCAAGAAATGGAGAAAAAGGGAAAAAGGGGCACGTGGCGCGCTCTCGGGGAGAGAGCTCCGAGGCTCAGAGATCGTGTGGAGGCCAGCCAGAACACGGAACACGAGAGAGCGAGAGAGAGAGAGAGAGAGAGAGAGAGACGAGAGAGCGCGCCCTGGAAGGGGAAAAAGGCTGGCGCCGCGCGCGCGCGACACCGCGCGCGCGCGCCCGCGCGCAGCGGCGCGCCCTCAGCCGGTACCGCGCGGCGCGCGCCCCGGCTGGTCCCGCGCGCGCTCGCGCGGAGCCGCTCCACACGCTCGCGCGCGCGCGCGCGCTCTGGGCGGCCGCGTGGCACTCGAGCGTGCCGTGCGGACGCTGCGATCGCCCTCATCTGCCCGCATCCGCGTTCATCTTCTCGTACCACCGCAGCGGCGCGAAGGAGGACGCCTCATCTGCCCGCATCCGCGTTCATCTTCTCGTACCACCGCAGCGGCGCGAAGGAGGACGGCTTCTCCTGGGGGGGAGGGGGAGGAGAGGGGGGAGGAGAGAAGGGGGACATGGTGGGGGCGGAACGGGGAAGGGGAGAACGAGAGTAAACCCGATGCGCAGCGACGATGTTGCAAGAAGCCCTCCACCAGATTCCCTCTCCCCAGGTACCTACCAGAATTTGTTACCACTGCGGGAAGTGCCCCACTGGAGATCGACCGTCTGAGAATCCTCAACGTTGCCCAAACGACGTCACCAGGACTTCAGCGCCGTGAATCCACGTGACTGTTGCGTCCTGAGAGTCCTAGATCGTGCCATAGCACCATGCCAGGAACTTCAGCACCGCGGAACAACCGTACTGTGGTGTCCTGACAAGTCTGAATCGTCCCAGAACGCAATTCCTTGGATTACAACCATATGAACCCTTGACACACTTTCGAACTTTCAGAAGAAGGTGCGCGACTGTGAAGCGACAGCCACGTTTTGGCAAGGAACCGACCCGCATCTGTGACGCTGTTGCGATCATGTGATATGAAAAAGAATGTGCATGGCGCCAAAGCGAGAACCACATTTCACAAAATAACTGCCCTCTGTCCTCCATCCATGAAGCCGTTCCAAACTTTACAACGAATGTACGCGGCTCTCGGATGAGAGCCACATTTTGAAAAAGAGCCGCCGTCCATACTTGAGACTCTTGCAAGCTTTTATGACGAATGTGAGCGGCTTTAAGGCGAGAGCCACATATTGAAATCGACCAGCCCTCCATCCAGGGGGCCGTTGCAAATTTCAAGGTTCAAGATCATAGATGATGGGATCATAGATGATGAAAGAGTCTCGAGCGAAACGCCCGGCAGGCCCTACTGACACGTCTGCGGGTGCGACAGGGATGAGTTGTTCCATAGGGGAAGGGATGGGGAGGAGGAAGAGAGGATGAGAAGGAGAGGAGGAGGATGAAGAGAAGTAGTAGGAGGAGGAGGAGGAGGAGGAGGAGGAGGAGGAGGAGGAGGAGGAGGAGGAGGAGCCTCGGAGGAGGAGGAGAAGGCGAAGGCCCTCTCACGCACTGGCCGGCGCCGTGAATCAGATCGGGTGGTCCTCTGAGGTGGCGGGGGGGCTTCTCGGGAAGGCCCAGAGGCTCCCGAGAAGGCCTCCCAGGACCCGGGAGTGCCCCTGGGACACGCCCCCCTCGCCCCGCCCCTCGCGCCCCGCCCCTCGCGCCACGCCCCGCTCTGCGCCGCAGCGCCGCCTACGAGGGGCGGGCGCGAAAGGGGGGCCCTCCTCCTCCTCCCTCCTCCTCCTCCTCCTCCTCCTCCTCCTCCTCCTCCCCTCCTCCTCCCTCCTCCTCCTCCTCCTCCTCCTCCTCCTCCTCCTCCTCCTCCTCCGCCTTCCCCTTCAGCCACCCCCCTCCGGCGCCCATGATTCCGTCTCCCTGTTCTGTCCGGCGGGTTCGCCAGCTCCTGATTGCTCCAGTCCAGCGTCATGAGGTAGTGCACGATGTTAGAACAACAAAAACTGACACAATTATGGGCTTTCGGCGGTCCATGCGGATTTCCACGGGTCGGCGCAGGATCCTCCTCCTCATACCCATTCTCGCCACGCGGAGCGCGCTGGGAGCGGCGCCAAACGAGCCGCCAAGACATCCGCTCGGACCCTTTGTGTCTCCAGACATCCGATGTCTGAATTTTTTCCCATGCGGGGTCCCTGGAACTCTCGACCCTTGCCCCAGGGCGACCTCGTCATCCTGAGCGGTCCTGATGGGCCCAGAGCTCGAAACCGTCCCCCAATACCGAAAACTACGAAACATCGCTTTCGCTGTTCTAGATGTCCACCCTGATCTGCCAGTCGGGGATGCCCCGGAAGTTCATCTGCACGCGGCCCTGGGCCATGACTCGCGGATTCTTCATGTAGTTCATGAGAGGGGCGGCCAGCCACACGACTCCGTCGAGGCGCTCGTTGGTGGACTTGTTCTGGATCTCCTCCATTCCGCTCGCCCGCCCGTAGATGTTAAACAATGTCGGGCCGATCTGGGTCTGGCCTATGAACAAAAACAACTGCATACATATATGCCTTCGGAGGTCAGCGCGGATTTCTCGGATGGGCGCTGGGGCCCCCTTCTTGGCGCGCAGAGCGAACCAAGCGTGGCGGAGAAGGCGCCGCCAAGTGGGCCTCGTGCCGACCCCATAAATCCGCGCGGGCCTGCGGCAATTCATCTTTATGCAACTTTGCTTTTTCGATTGCCTCCTCTCGTGAGGCGGTTGTCGGGGTAGATGGAATGGCACTGGGAGCAATACTTCTTGAAATCCGCAACCGTGCCGCTGGGCACGGAGTGGGCGTGTCCTTAGGTCCTGGGCCCAATCCTCTAAGCCTCAACCCTCACCCCTGAGATGTCTTTAGGGGCTCGGATCCGAAATTGCCACATCTCTTGGGGCTTCCCCCGTGTCGCCTGGGGCTTCTTGCTGCTTCTCGCGTTGCTTTTTCGGAGCCGAGACGGCCCCAAGACGGGCCTAGAGGGCTCCAAGAGGCCCCGAAGACGGCCCAGGAGGGCCCCGAGTCACCGAACAATCGGTCCAAGACGCCCAATCTGGCCCTAAGACGGCCCAAGAGGCCTCCAAGACTCGCGAAGAGGCCTCCAAGAGACCTCCCGTGAGGGCCCCAAGAGGCAGACATCATTAATGGACCTTAGGTTTTTGAAGGATTTGGGCGTCCTCGCCTTTTCGGCTTCCCGACGCTCCACGACTGCCCACGCGGCTCCCAAGATCGCCCCTAAGACGGCCCCAGAGGTCCCCAAGAGGACCCGAAGACGGCCCAGGAGGGCCCCGAGATGGCCCAAGTGGCGCCGAAGACGGCCCAAGAGGGCCCAAAGACAGCCCCAAGAGGGGGCCCAGATGGGTAACCCGAACGGACGTTTCGAGCCCTCGGCCCCGAGGGCCCAAATGGTCCGCAAGAGGCCCCAAGAGGCCGCCAAGACGGCCCAAGAGGCCAAGAGGGCCCCCAAGAAGGCCTGAAGAGGACGGCCTTCCGTCCGACGGCCTTAGCATTTGTTCCGTTTCGGCCTTCAGACGGCCCGAGATGGCCCAAGAGCCCCTTCAGATCGCCCCAAGAGGCTCCCAAAACGGCCCAAGAGGCCTCCGAGACGCCCATGATGGCCTCCAAGACGGCCCTGGAGCACCCCAAGAGGGCCCCAAGTCGGCCGCCCCCAAGACGGCCTCGGACGGTTTCAGACGGGCCAGGAACGCCCAAAGACAGGCAAAGAGGCCCCCGAGAAGCCCCCTAAGGTCCCCAAGAGGCCCAAGGAGGCCCCCAAGATGCCTCCAAGAAGCTCCCAGGAAGCTCCCAGGAGGCACCAAGAATGCCCCCAGAGGCTCCCAAGCTTCCTACCCCTCCTCCTCCGCCTCCTCTTCCTTCTCCTCCTCGTTCTCGTTCTCGTTCTTGTTCTCCTCCTCCTCCTCCTGATCTTCCCCGCCATCCTCCCCCAAGTGTTCCCGAAGGATTTCCACAACGGCTGGGGGAACACATGGTCAGATAGCTTGGCAGAGCTCTTGCCACACCGCTCGGCCACATGGGGGATTTCAAAAGGCAAGGGGCGGCGGTGATTCGCCGTAGGCGTCGTCGATACTTCTCCCCCTTCTTGACGCTCCCAGGCGGCAATTCGAAGTCGTCGGGGACGTCGTCGAAGGCGTCCAGGTTGCTCCTGGACGCTGCCGCCGCCGTCGTCGTCTTGGTCGTCGTGGTCGTCGTCGGCGCCATCCCTGTCCTCGTCCTCGTCCTCGTCGTCGTTGTTGATGCTGTTGTTGTTGTTGTTGTTGTTGTTGTTGTTGTTGTTGTTGTTGTGGTTGAATGTTAATTACTAAACAAGTTGGACCCCTTACAGGCACCCTGGCGCTCTCGCCGAGGCGCCGGCTACATTTTCATTGAAAATGAAGCTCACGCTCAAGCGGTTTGGGGGACCGCCAAAGCGGGCCCCCCAACAACAACAACCCTCCCGCTCGAGACTTCCTCCTTTTTTGCTCAGGGCTGATGCTCTTGCTCGCCGCCGAAAACCGCCGTCCTAACAAAACCAGCGCTCCCGCTCGAGACTTCCTCCCGTTTTACCTATGACTGGCGCGCTAGTCTTTCTCTCATCGGCGCCGCCCCCAGCAAAAACAACGCTCCCGCTCAAGGCTTCCTCCCTTTTTGACTCAAGGTGGTGCTCCCCCTCGCAGCCGAAAACCGCCGCCCCGACAAAACCAGCGCTCCCGTCCGAGTTCCTTCCGTTTTACGCTGGACTGGCGCCCACCTCTCTTTTGAATTGGCGCCGCTCCCAGCAAGAACAACGCTCCCGCTCGAGGCTTCCTCCCTTTTTCCTGAAGACGGTGCTGTTCCTCGCCGCCGACAGCCCCCGTCCCGACAAAACCACGGCTCCCGCTCGATGCTTCCCCCCTTCTTACTCAAGGCGGTGTTCCTCCTCGCCGCCGAAAGCCGCCGCCCCGACAAAACCAGCGCTCCCGCCCGAGACTTCCTTCCGTGTTACGCTGGACTGGCGCCCAACTCTCTTTTGAATTGGCGCCGCTACCAGCAAGAACAACGCTCCCGCTCGAGTCTTTCTCCCTTTTTCCTGAAGACGGTGCTGTTCCTCGCCGCCGACAGCCCCCGTCCCGACAAAACCACGGTTCCCGCTCGATGCTTCCTCCTCTCTTACTCAAGGCGGTGTTCCTCCTCGCCGCCGAAAGCCGCCGCCCCGACAAAACCAGCGTTCCCGCTCGAGACTTCGTTTTGTTTGACGCTGGACTGGCGCCCTACTCTCTTCAGCATTGGCGCCGCTCCCAGCAACAACAGCAGCCCTGCTCGAGACTTCCTCCCTTTCTATTCAGGGCCAGGTCCTTGCCTCTTCGCCGACAGCCCCCATCCCCACCAAGGCAATCCTGTCGTTCGATACTTCCTTGTGGTTCACCCTTCGCTGGGGTTCCACTGGCGGTCTCGCATCGGCGCAGCAAGGCGCGGGCATGTGTTTTCGAGGCGGGATCTGTTGAAATTCCTCGGAGGAAGTGTTTGCAAGACCTCCTTGGGCGGGAGATCTGGGAATGGGAGCAACGGACCCCGCTATAAAACAAGAGTCCCCAATGATGTGGATGGTTATCATGATGGTCGCATGCTTCGTGTGGAAACATCGCGCATGAGGGTAAACATATTGTTGTTGTTGTTGTTGTTGTTGTTGTTATTATTGTTGTCGTTGTGGTTGTTGTTATTGTTGTTACTATTGTTGTTGTTGTTGTTGTTGTTGGTGTTGTTGTTGTTGTTGTTGTTGTTGTTGTTGTTGTTGTTGTTGTTGTTGTTGTTTTTTGTAGTTGTTGTTGTTGAACTTTCATTTATGGAAGATATTTTTGTTGATCCCCCTACAGGTGCATACAGCTTTTTCTCAATCGAAGTGTGCCCTTCGACGCTCGCACCCTGTTTGTATCAGGGATAGTCTTGAAGCTCAAACTGGGCCCCATGCCCCCCAGGTTACAACAACAACGGCTCCCGCCTGAGACTTCCTCACAATTTTGCCATGACCCCCGTTCCTGCCCGAGACTTCCTCGCATTTTATTCAGGAATCGCGTTGTCGCTCGGGACTTCCTTACAATTTATTCAGGAATCGCTCTCCCGGCGCTCTGGATTCGCGCTCTCGCTGGAGACTTGCTTGCAACTAACTGAAGAATAACGCCTTTGCGCTGGAATCTCCTACTATTTACTCAAGCGCCGCGCTCCTGACACCCAGGCGCCCAGGAGTCGCGCTCACGCGTAGGACTCCCTCACAGATTACATAGGAACCGGGATCTCGCTGCACTTCGTGGCCGCGTTGCAACCCTTCGTGGCCCCCGCGCTGTGTTTCGTGACCCCGTTGCAGCCCTTCGTGGCCCCCTCGCTGCCCATCGTGGCCCCGTCGCAGCCCTTCGTGGCCCCGTTGCAGCGCTTCGTGGCCCCCTCGCTGCTTTTCGTGGCCCTGTTGCATCCCTTCGTGGCCCCCTCGCTGCCATTCGTGGCTCCATATATGTATGCCCTTCGTTGCCCCCGCTCGTTCGCGCCCGAGGTGGCCCCACATGCATGCCCTTCGTGGCCCCGCTGTCGCCCTTCGTGGCCCCCTCGCTGCCCTTCGTGGCCCGGTTGCTGCCCTCAGTGGCCCCGTCCTTGCCTTCCGCGGCCCAATATGCGGATGCCCTTCGTGGCCCCCGCTCGTTCTCGCCCGTTGTGGCCCCATGTGCGTGCCCTTCGTGGCCCCGCTGTCGCCGTTTGTGGCCCCCCCACTGTCCTACATGGCCAAGTTGTTACCCTCAGTGGCCCCATCGTTGCCTTCTGTGGCCCCGCGTTATCTGCCCTTCGTGGCCCCCGCTCGTTCGCGCTGTTCGTGGCCCCATACGCATTCCCTTCGTGTCCCCGCTGTCGCCCTTCGTGACCTACTTCGTGTCCTTGTGGCCCTGCTGTCGTTCTCTGTCGCTCTCGCTTTCGCTCGTCGTCGTCGTCGTCGTCGTCGTCGTCGTCGTCGTCACCGTCGCCGTCGTCGTCGTCGACGTCGTCGTCGTCGTCGTCGTCGTCGTCGTCGTGGTCGGTCCCCTGTCCGTCCCTCGTGGGGTCGGGTCGACGGTCCGCGGCCGCCCCTTTGATTAGCGCTGCCGCTGGCCAGGCCGACGGTCCGCGGCCGCCCCGCCGCTTGCCGGGGACTGGCCTGCAGGGAAGAAAGGTATACCCCAAAAAGAGGGTTTGGGAAGTACGCATTATTGGACACTCGAGCAAATAAGGGCGAACAATATTAAAATGATTGTTGTTGTTGTTGTTGCCGTTGCCGCCGCCGCCGCCTCCAACTTCGTGATAGTGGTCGTCGTCTTCACCGCAAGCATCGTCGTCGCCGACGTGGTCGTCGTCATGACCGTCGTCATGGTCGTCAAAAATCGAAGTCTTCAGCCGTTTGCGGGCCTCCCGAGGCCTCCCCCGGAGGCCTCCAGTCGTAGTCGTCGTCGTCGTCGTCGGTCGTCGATGTGCCCGTCGTGGTGGTCGTTGCCGACGCCGACGACGTTCGTCGCGGGCGCCCGTGCTGCTCCTGGACGCGGGCTGGGGCACCAGCGGCGGCGGCGCCTCGTCCCTCGGGTGGGGCATCGCCGCCATCCGCCGCCTGGGCCCCTCGTCGCCCTCCGCCGCGCCGTCGCCCTCCCTCCCTGCCCTGCTCGCCCTGCTGTGTTGCTCCTCTCCTCCTGCTCATCCCCCCCCTTCTACTGCCCTCCCCCTCCTCCTCCTCCTCCTTCTCGTCCTCCTTCTCCTCCTCCTCCTCCTCCTCCTCCTCCTCGTCCCTCTCCATCTCCTCCGAATCGTCCTCCCCTCCTCCTCCTCCTCCTCCTCCTCCTCCTCCTCCAGCTCCTCCTCCTCCTCTGATCCGCTGATCCTACAAAGAGAAAGTCCCGTTCGAAACCAAACAAACCGAACCTACTAACAAACAGGACCGACCTCGAAACAGAAGACCTTTGCCTCCTCGGCTTCGGGGCCGGGGCCCGACGGATTTTCCCCCTCATCTGGCCCTCCGTTGGGCGCTTTGCCGAACGAGTCCTGAGAGAGGGGGAAGGGGGGCCCCCAGAACGCAATGGACTGGGGCTCCCTACCAGACAGCAATCGTCCCAACGCCGATCGAGCCAGACAGGCCGCCGACCGCGGACGACACGAAGGTGGGCGGCAGGGTCGGCCTAGTCCGTGTACCTGCCGACGCGCGTGGGCCCCGCAGATCTTACAGAACACGATCGCTCTACGCCTCTCATAAGCTTCTTCCAGGACGCCCCGCCCCCGATCCCCACGAACCACTCGCAGCTTATGGGTGGAGTGGGCGATCGAGGCAGGCCTGGGCATTCCCGGGCAGGGCGAGCACACTATCCTGGATCGGAGCCCTTTTCTATCCCCGCATAAGTTACATCCCCAGGCCCCTCCCAGACGCAAGATCGAATGCTCATTCTCGCTAGACACAGGAACGACGGAATTTCGGAGGCAGGGACGAGTGGGCATGGGGGCTCTGATCAGGCCAATTTGAGGACGCGAGCTCTTTCAGCACAGCCCCGTGGTGAGTAGCAACTAACTCAGCGGCGCGGGTGGCTGCTGCCAGCTGGGCCACCTTCCTTGGCCTTGGCATCCGCGTGTCGGTTGCCACGGTGCCAAGCCAGCGGGACACCTGCCGCCTCCGCCGCAGCCAAGCTAGCGTGGGCCCGCGTCCAGCGGAGGTCTTTAGCGTGCGCCCATACCCAGGTCTTTGACGTGTACCCATACCTCGCGCCACAGGTCCGCGTGCAGCGAGCCCGCTGCAACGCGCCGCTCTTCTCTTCGCTCGAAGTCCTCCACCAGCAGAAGGCAGTCCGTGACCGCGTCGACCATGGGGCCCCTTCTCCTGCAGCGCCCTCAGCAATGCGTAGAGCTCGGCATAGCCACTCTCCTGTGCTGCCCCTGACACGCTGCCACGCATGCCTCCTCTCAGGGCCCCGTCGGGGTCCACCGTGACGCGGGCTCAGCCGCTCTTCGTGAGCTCGCCCAATTCTGGGGGCATCGCCGAGCCGTCGATGCAGACCGTCCCGTGGACTAGGTCGTCTCGAAGCACTCCTCGTCGGCGCGCCCCCTGCTGCGCTGGCCTCGGTGGCATCTCCACCCCCGGGCTGACCAGGCATCTGACCATGCCTATGTCGCTGTCGTCGATTGCCGCGCCTGCTCTCCTGACCTCCTGCAGGTCCAGCCTCGCCGCGACTTCGGCGGTGCCGTCGCGGCCGAACTTTCGGCACTTCGCCGTCCCAGGCCCCCCGCCGCACGGCGCGCGCAGAGGGCTCGGCGCTGCCCCCTCGCGGTGCAGATCCTCCTGGGCCACCGGGCCTCCGCAGAACAGCGACTCGACTGGGGCTACCTGCTCGCAGTCTCCTCCCTTGCGCAACGCGGCGAGCGCCTGCCAGGTGACGCGGGGTGTCGGCGGCCCGTGCTGGATCCCCGACTCGAGGAAATGCCGTGCACGCATGGGGCTGTGGGTCTTGAGGTCGACCTGGCCCCCTTGGTCGGTGACCCAGGTCCTCCAGTCAGCGGCCTCCCATCCGGTCCTCCTGGGTCTGAGTTTGACCGCGTCCGCAGGCCCGCGCACCTGGCCCCAAGTCTCGGGCTGCGGCGCGTTGGAAGCCATCTCCAGGCTCGCGTCGCTGCGCATTCCCAAGAACGCCACCTTGGCCCAGGCCTCCAGCGGCAGGCTGTTGGCCGAGCTGGCGGGTTCCAGCTTCCAGCCCTGGTCTGGCCGCAGCGCAGCCTGCAGCGTTTTGCTCTTGCGGCCCGCGGCTCCTGCCAACACCTGGCCGTTGACAGCCCTCGCCTTCTCCGCCGCCGCCGTCGG